TTCCCCTCCCTCACAAAAGTATTTGCCGTTTCACACATAAATGAGATTCATTACAAAAAGCCGAAGCAAAAATAAGATGCACAGAAGCTGAGTGTAACACTTCTCCACAACAACGACAAACGCACTCAGTCATGCATCATCATCATCAAAAAAAAACATTATGTCTTTTCCCAATAGAATTCAAAAAAAAAAAAACGAGAAAAAAGAGAAATGACTGCACTCTGGAGGAGGCGCAGGTGGTGCCATTCATTTTACCAAATAGAGAGAGAGAGAGAATGGATCCACTCGTGTTATCGTATCAGTATGCTTCCTGGTGCAGATATATAAAGCAATACAGGTTAAAGTATATTAGTATATTAGATATTTAAATTTATCCTGTGCACACACTCATGGTAGTGGGACACCAATGAGGTACCCATATTTCAGCATTGCGGTGTGGGTGTGTATTCAGTCCTTCCTCAGCAAGACAGCACCACAGCAAGAACCATGGTGACAATCATGATGGGAAGAGAGCAAACTGCAGAAAGAGCGTCATCTTTACCAAGTTCAATTACAAGTTTTGACTCGTTCTGCATATTGTTAATTTGAGCTTGACTCACAACCCCTGGATATTTTGACGGATCATTGATGTTTGCATTCTCTTTTCCACTTGGTGAGGACGCACCTGTAGCGGCAGCATCCTGAGTGTTATTGGAAGTTGTGGAAGAAGTAACACCAGTAGTATCCCTTCTGCCGCGTGTATTGATAGTGGTACCGTTATCTTCCCGACCTCTCTGCAGAGATGTAGGTCCTGCTGATGCTGCTGATGGTTGATGTGGGTTAACAAATGGAACAAGACTGCTGCCGTTGGAGGCAACAGTACACACCTCATCGTACTTGGGACACTTGATCTTACCACCGCTTTTGAACGTAGGTGAGTTTGCTTGGATGGACTCACCTTCGGGGCAGTCGTGCCATTTGTCTTGGTTACCTTTGTATTTCACACTCACTTTTTTACTTTTCGCATCACACGACACCAGCGCACACACACCATTCACGTTCGAAAATGTACTTTCAGTGTCCTTAACTTCCAGTTCTTCACCATCCAGGCACCAAGAATTAGGGCCCTTAAGTGATCCTGTGGCTGTACTGGTGTCACTCTCATCAGTACAATAAGAAGGGTTCTGTGCAATTTCATGTGTAATATAATTCTCATTTACTTTACAGATGCGCTGATATTCTGCCTGAAAACCCTTGTCCACCAAAGCCGCAGTACCGTACGCAGTGCGGTCCGACGTGCATCGAAAAACAGTTTTGCCATCGAAAACATCATTAATGAAATCATTATGTTTCTTCCCGCAATCCTCCTCGAGAAAGGCACATCCACTCTGATTCCCCCAGCTCATTTGTTCCTCCATTCCCCAGTTGGCCCTGTAGTAACCCAGATCCTCAAACAATGCCATGGTCAGTGCTGTGTAGTAGCCGGCACTGTGTTCATCAGTCGGCAATGCCATCAATTCATCCTTCGCAATACGCCTGAGCCAAATCGGTTGGACGCCCCCCTCTTCATTGTACACCAGATTCATTTCCTTTAACGTAGGACAATTGTAGTGTTTTTGTGCTTTTTTCACCGTTACTGTGGAGTTCACGAACCTCCTCATACGCACACCTTCGAGTTCTTCTTCGAACATAATTCCTTTCTTCCCCATCTCACGAAAACTGAATCCCAGTGCGTGTGCAATCTCGTGCGCAACACGACGAACTCTCAATCGCAACCCAACATGTGATTCGGAAGCGTAACTCACTGCTCCTACAATTGGACGACCTGTTGAATCCCAGGCACAAGTATAACCGAACGTCGTTTTTGTGGCAATTACGTAGAGTACAAAGTCAGCATCAACACCCACATCGCGGTGCTCTTTCGGTACAGTAAAAAAGTCGCAAGCTTCATCTTTAAACTCAGGCACCTTCAACTTTCCACTCACAGGACGAACAAGCAGACGATCCCTGTGCAGTTTGATAGCAGCAGGAATTACTTCATTCATAAGTTTGTTCCTTTCCTCCAGTGGCAATCGTTCATAACCGCACTTCTTATCATCTTCGACTGTTACCTTCGTATGTTCTGCTCTTCCATCATCTTCCCCAAAACGGTTTTCTCTTTTAACTTTTTCTTCGTGCTTTGTCTCATTTACCTTACTGCATAACAATGAATG